AATATATATATATAAAAGATATATACGATGGAGTTGGCGGCTGGCCCTAGCTTTGCTCTGCTAGGGTTTGGGAAGTGATGTCTCTACTTGGAGAGGCAGTGGAGCGGTGGGAAGAAGCTTGCTCTTGCTTCAAGAAGTTGATTTAGCATTTCAAGCTGCTTGGCTTTGTTGGAGTTGTGTTCTCCCTGTGCTGTTATTGTTCCATTGCTGCTGAACAAGCTTGGAAGTTCTTTTTACGAAATCTTCTCTCCTCTACTTGTTGAGCACCCTTGTGGGGTGCTGCTGGTGGTATATTATGGACACTCCTATTGATTTGGAGACAAACCCGCAATGGACAAAAACAACCTATGCTAGGGGCTGTGGGAAAACCTTCTTCCCCCTTGGTAGATCCAGATCTTCTAGTGCTTCCTCAGGACTTTCGTAACACTGCTGCTGGCAGGGGTACTACCCCGTGCATCCATCCTGTGGGCTCAAAGGATGGGGAACCAGCTGCCATTTTCTCAGAATAGAACCTTGCTGAACTGAACTTGGAAGTTCAGTTCACACTTATTGGAAAATTTAGCCTAGGTCACCCAAAGATGGAATTTGTGAGGAAATACTTTGAATCTCTGAATATATCTGACTGGAGGCTAGGATTACTGGATGGAAGACACCTCCTTATCCAGCGGACAAAGGAAGAAGACTATGCACGAATATTTCCGAAACAATCAATCATTATTGTTGGTGCTGAAATGAAAATTTTAAAATGGACTCCTGAGTATGACCCTTCTCAGGAACCCCCTACAGTGCCAATTTGGTTCAAGCTACCAAAACTCCCATTTCATCTCTTCAAACTAAATGCTTTATTTAATATTGAATGCACTTTAGGCACACCATTGAAGGTGGATGCAACCTACAACAAAAACCTACAACAAATCTAGGCAAGCAAATGCCAGAATTTTGGTGGAGAGGGATATTAACCTACCTGAAGTAAAGAGGATTTGGATTAGAGACTCCTTGAAGGGATTTTGGTAGGAAGTATCCATGGAGCAAAGGCCCTATTACTGCCAACATTGCAAAATGTTTGGTCACACTAGGGAGAAATGCTACAGGATAAATCCTCCTAACAGAAGGCAGACAACTCACCCACAACTGGAATTGAATACTGAAAACACCCATCTCCTAAACAAAGAAGCTCACCAGCGCAGATCTCTAATGTGGCAGTAACAGAAGAGACAAACAATCCAACTATTGATCAAAATACTCTCAAGGCCCAGCAGGTTGTGACCCCTTTAGCTAAGAAGAGGGAAATAGTTGAAGAGGTTTTGGAGACAGGTAGAACTAGAAGTGGGAACCTTTCAGTTCAAGTCCTCTTAAGGGATTCTATTGAGTCTCCTAGGAATACAAGGGATCATGTGGCTAGTGTGTAGGTGGCTTCCCCTACTGAAGCTATGGTTTAAGAACTGAATAAAGACTTGGAATCAGAATGACAGATCCAAAAAATAAGAAAGAAAAGAAATTTCAAACAAGAAGAACTGAAAAAGGGAAAGGAAAAGGAGATCAACAAATGAAGATCTTAGCACCAAAAGGAGAGGAAGTTTAAACAAACCAAGGGGGAGGACTAGATCTAGATCCCAACCCTCCATCCATCCCCCCTCCCCATGATCAATATGTTGTGTTGGGACATAAGGGGGATTGCTCACTCCTTATCTCTAAAAAGACTCAAATGCCTTAACAAAAATATGAATTTTGGTGTTTAGCCATTTTGGAACCTATGGTTCATATCAACACTAAGAAAATTGCTAAAGAGTTCCCTGGATTCAACCTTTTTACTAACCTTAATAACAAAATTTGGATTTTCTGCAGGAAAGAAATGAAGTGCTCTATTTTAGTTAATCACTATAAAATTTTGCATATGAGCATTAGTACTGATGGCATGGATGGATTTGCTTCTTTTGTTTATGCAGGAAGTTCCAAAACTGCAAGAATTGAGCTGTGGGAGACACTTCAAAACATCCAAGACTCCATTGACAAAGCTTGGATTGTGGGAGGGGATTTTAATTGCATTTCATCTCTTGCTGAAGGGAAGGGGGGGGGGGGGGGGAGAGCTGGGGGGGGGAAGAACTCCAAATCCTGTCACTATATCCAATTTGAATGACAAAATTAAAAAAACTGGTTTATTTGACCTTGAATTTAGTGGCCCTGCCTTCACCTGGTGAAGGAAGAATATGTGGGAAAGACTGGATAGAGTCTTTGCTAATGACCACTGGATTCAAAACTTCTTGCAGACTACTATCACTCATTTAAGCCTTGCTGGATCTGATCATAGGCCTTTGGTGATCACCATTGGCCCAAATAGTAGTTTTCAGAAGAGTGCTTTTAGGTACTTGAATGTTTGGTCACAACATAAGGACTTCTTGCAGATTGTCAAAGATAATTGGAAGAATGATTCACACCCTGACACCTTGATTAACTTGTGGCAAAAGCAAAAAAAAGGTGGGAAAAGCTCTCAAACAGTGGAGTTAGAATACTTTTTGAGATTTACTTAAGGTTGTGGAAAAGGCTGAAAAGGAGCTGCTTGAACTGGAGGAGGAGCACAACAAAGGGAAGACTGATGAAACTGCTCTTTTAGAGGCCAATGAGAGAGTTCTAACTACTGTAAACTGGCAAGATCAGTTCCTCAAGCAAAAAGCTGTCAAGACTAAATTTACTGAAGGGGATAGAAATACAAAATTTTACCATGCTTGTATTAATTACCAGAGAAATTACAACACTATTCATTGTATTAAAGATCAGAATGGAACTTGGCTCAAGAAGGAGGAGGAGATTGCTGAAAGTGCTGTCTTATACTGCCAAAACCTCATGAATGAGCACAACACTGATAGAGGCCATATAGACAAAACTTTGTTTTCAGAAAGCAATCAGTACACTGCCCATTTAAATCTGACAGACATACCTGAGGAGAAGGAGATTCAAAGAGCTTTACAATCAATAGATAGCATTAAATCAGCTGGTCCTGGTGGCTTCACTGCAGACTTCTACAAAAAAACCTAGGGGGAAATTAAGGTGGAGGTAATTCAAGCTATTCAACATTTTTTTAATGGACACTCTCTTCCTAATTATTTTAGTGCTTCCTCTATTGTTTTCATTCTTAAGACTTCAATTAAAAACTGCTGGAGTCAGTTCAGAACTCTGAGCCTTACCAATGTCATCAGCAAGATTGTAAGTAAAATTATGGTGACCAGACTTCAGCCAACCCTACCTCAGCTAATTAGTATTAATCAAGCAGCATTTTTGAAAGGGAGAAGTATATGGGACCAAATTTTATTAGCACAAGAAATTTTACAGGACTTCGAGAAACCTTGCAAAGGAGGCAATGTGATCTATAAGCTTGATTTGAAGAAGGAATATGATATGGTGAACTGGGATTTCATTATGCAATGTTTGGAGGTAAGAGGATTCTTTAGGGAGTTTTGCCAGACCATAAAAAGATGGCTAGAGGCCAATGCCAATTCTGTTTTCATAAATGGGAAAGCATATGGTTTTTTCAAAGCTACTAGAGGGCTTAAACAAGGGGATCCTCTTTCCCAAACTATTTTCATTCTGGTTTTGGATTACTTATCGAGACTCATTGATTGCCAGAAGAAAAAGAAAAGCTTCAATGCTTATCATAATAGAGCTAAGATGGACATTAGTCACCTTATTTATGTTGATGACATTCTCATTTTTACTAAGGCAACAAAGGCAGCTACTAGGTACCTTGATGAGTGCTTGAAAAATTTCAACAGGTGTCTGGGCTGAAAGTTAATAAAGATAAATGTCAGATCCTAGCCAGCAAAGAGAGTTCCATTATCACTTAGGTAGTGATTGTCTGACTTCATTGGGTTCTCAACTATGAGCATTCCTTTTAAATATCTGGCCACTCAACTTGTTAGAGGTAGAACCAAACAGGCCCAATTTGATGAGGTTATAGACAAAATTAATTCTACCCTTCAGAGATGGTCCAATTTTTACCTATCTAATGGTAGAAGGATCGCCCTACTTAAGAGCATCCTCACATCTATCCCTCTCTATACCCTCCAAGTGGCAAACATGAAAAGAAGCACCACCTTGATGCTGGAAAGAACTTTTAACAGGTTCCTTTGGCCTGGCAGCAGGAAACAAATGATCTGGGCTAGTTGGCAAAGAGTGGATAAACCTTATGAAGCTGGTGGTTTGGGTTTTAAAGGCCTACATCATATGTAAAAAATTAGTATGTGCAAACTTTGGATCAGATTTAGACAAAATTAAAGTCTATGGGCAAAATACATGATGGCCAAATATTGTAAAAATGATCATCCTGGGGAAGTAAGTAAGAAGTTTGAAGACTCCAGGACCTGGATCCAGATGCTCAAGGGTAGGGAAGATATTGAAAAATTTCTCATTTGGGAGCTGGTCCATGGAGAGATCAACTTCTGGAAGGACAAATGGTGCCCTACTAATCACTTGGAGCCTCTGCAGAATGAAAAAGAGGAGGATTTACTTGCTAAAGACTGTTGGAGTGGAAATGAGTGGTCTGAGGATGCCTTGAATAACATTCTGAAGGACTCATCTGCGAGAAGCATTTCAAAAATCCACTTTGATAGAAATAAAAAAGACCAGATTCAACTTATTAAAAGGACCAGGTCTAGCCTATCAAAGGACATCCAGAATAGCTTATTCATATGGGAAAACTGCCAGCGGAATATTTGCACTTGCCAAAAATTCTTAACTCCTTCAATATTGTTCTTTTCTTGGAGAGTGCTAAATGATTTAATTCCAGCTGATGACATACTAAAACTGAAAGGATTGAAAGGCCCCTTAAGATGTCACCTTTGTAAAAATGATCAAGAATCCAGTGATCATCTCTTCTTTAGATGCAGATTTGCTAGGGATGTATGGAAAAAGTTGACCTTTAACATTAACCTCAATCTGATTAATGTTGGCTGGGGAAACATCAAAGACAGTTTAAAAGACTGGCAAGCAGTAAACCTAATGTCTCCTTCCTTCATTATTGCCTGGTTTATTTGGAATGCTAGGAACAAAGTGAAGCATGAGGACATTGGAACTAACACTGACTCTGTGGTGTCTAATTGTCAGGCCTACTTACATAAGCTGATTAGTTGGAAGAAGTTCCAAAAGATTTTGAAGGACCTGCCTAATATTGAACTGAAACAGCTTAAGGTAATCAAGGTTAGATGGGAGAAGCCTCGTCACCCATTCATTAAAATAAACACTGATGGAAGTTTCACCAACAAGAAAGCTTGTATTGGAGGGATCTTTAGAGATCACACTGGTAAAGCTTTGCTTTATTTCAAGGCCCCCTATATTGCTCCAGATGCCCTGAAAACAAGCTGTTGCACTTTACTGGGCCCTTAAATTTGTCTTGGAAATTCAGTGGAAATGGATTATTGCTGAAGTGGACTCTTCCCACCTGGTGGAGCTGTTCACTGACAACATTTTGCCCCACATTTTGCCCCCCTTGGCACATAAACCAGCGGATTCACTTGATAAAGAAACTTATCACTGAGATTAACCTAAAAATGTCCTTTGTTTATAGGGAAGCTAACATGCCTACCAATTTTCTGGCTTTGGAGGATTCTAACTCGAATCATGCTGAGGTCTCCACTTCCCCTCCCCTCCCTCTATAACTGTTACTACAAGGGGATAAACTACAAATACCTTACCTTAGATTACAGACCTGAAGTTTGGGTTCTTCCTCATCTTCCTCAATGCTCTTTCTTCCTCAATGCTCTTTGGACTTCTCTTATTCTTATACTGTTGATGCTCCCCTCATTTCTGTTTCCATTAGTCTTTTGGGAACTTTGGAATTATATTGTAATTATATATATATATATATATATATATATTCAGATACACACACACACACACACACACACACACACACACACACAC